ATAAGCTATTCTGATATTTTTAGAGAAACAACAAATATAGATTAATAGTCTGTATATTATTAGATAAGACAGTAAGCTTTATAAAAAGTTATTTTTGGTAAATAGTGGGGAATTTGGATTGGAATGTGTTGAAATTAAAATGTAGCTTTGTTAAAACTGTTATTTTGACATACACTGAAAACATGATTTGAATAAAAAATGTATTTTCTACTTGCACCATATACCAGTTATTAAAACGTGTTTCTGCTACCTATGAACATTTCGACATGTTTTTATAAGTCTTAGTTAAAATATATTTAAGATATTGTTCTTAAATCCTTTGCATCATAATTACCTGAGCCCACATAGAAAATGATCTCATAGACTCACTCTAGACAAATAATTCATTCTTTAAAAGTGACAAGGAGGAGGAATCTGTTCTTTACTTTTCATAGAAATAATTCTAGATCCATTTAAGAATTTGTATTATTAAAGTTGAGAAATTATGCCACTTCCCAGACACAACCACATGTATGGATAGACATGTATTTTATGCAGCATCTCAGGATATTGCCAGGTGCATTTGTTAAACACACACTGTGTTTTTATGAGTTAACCTAATGGCTTATTTATATTGCCTTCATATAGGAAACAGATCATCAAATATCTGGTTATTTCATTTAGGAAAATACTGATATAGATGAGAAGTTATTTAGTGTGCTATTTAGTAAGCTAGATACTTACTTGTCTAAACAGATAATTAAGTTCAGAGATATAATAGTCACAGTAGTTAAAAGTATTCTAAAGTGGGTATTTTGGTATGACTCTGTCTCAAATTTAATAAAAATAACGTAGGGCTAGACCTACAAAGTCCCTAGTTCCACCCCCAGTACTGAAAAAAGAAAAACTACAGACTGCAGATATCATTCTCTACTCTTCACATTCACTCTGTTTATATTTAATGGTGCTGTCTAAGCCAATTGTGTGGTAGAGATTAACAAGAAAGCCGATTTTTTTTCAAAGGCTATGCTAGGCCCTTTTGATTCTAGATAAACAATTCTCTATTCATCCACTCCTGTGGTATCACTGTTACCAAAAACCTTATATTTGAATCCTGGCAGTGACTCTGACCTTGTCACACATTTTCCCTGGTGTCTGAAGCCTGAAATCTGGGTAGAAGCATCCATGACCATACTTTGGGGTTCTCAAAGCAGTCTTTCAAAGGAGTTCAATGTTTATACTTTTGAGGATTCTTTGATAGGTGGGATGCGGTTATTTCCTGAGAGGATCTTTCTTACTGTCCCACTATAAAATGTTTGACTTCTTTGTAATGTGAATCTTTTCATCAACAATTCTTTCCCTTGATCCCAGGCCTCTTTTCTGGTCAAGCTGCAGATTTTTAAAATCCTATACCTCAGCTTTTTACTCCTGACTCTCAATGCAGATCTAAGTGAAAGTAACCAGCAGTATCCATGCCACTTCCTGAACATTTTGCTGCCTTAAAAGTTCCTCCACCAGATTAGTCTGCCACTTTTGAAGTTATCCTCACACAATGTCACAGAACATGTATAAAACATTGACAAATTATTTGCAAGAATGAAACATGCAGGATTTTAGTCCAGTTTTCTAGATCCTCATTCCCAAATGAAAATTCACTGGCTTGCACTTTATCACACATTCTTGTCAGCATCCTGGTCTTCTGATTTCTGACCACAGCTACCTGTCACGCGTGCTAATACTTGAGAGCTTCTCCAGTCTGAATCTCCCAACTTTTCTAAACTCCCACAAACTAGTTTTAAAAGTTTCTAAAGTATAATTATACAGCAGTACCCTATTCATGGTACCAGTGTTCTGTGTTAGTCACTTTCCCATAGCTGGGACACAATACTCACCATCCACAACTTAAAGGAAATGAGGCTTATTTTTGGCTCACAGTTTTACTGGATTTAGTCCAAAGCCTACTGGTACCAAGGCTGAAACAGCACAGTAAAACCACCTGGCAAAAGGGCTTTCAGGGAAGACAGCTGCTCAACCCATAACAGCCAGGATTCAGAGAGACGGGCAGAATCAGGGACAAGAGAATACCTTCCAAGTCAAGAACGTGTGATCCATCTCTTCTGAACATCCCTATCTCCAAAGACATGATACTTTGGGGGGAACATTTTAGATATAAACACCATAGCATTCCATTTAAATAACATTCTGAAAAAGGTAAAGCTTTAGAATCAGTAAGCAAACATTGGTTACTGGAGGTTAACAATGGAAGTGAAAGGATATACAAATAAAAAAGCAACCTGAAGAAGTCTGGAGGAAGAAACAATATTCCGGTGATGATTAAACAGTACATTTGATAAAATTTGCCTAACTGATTAAAGGAAATTTTTTCTTACATAAATTACAAAACACATTTTTTAAAAATCAGAACTTAGGGCCCAGGGTTTAACTCAGTGGTGTAAATGCCTGCTTGGCAAATGCAAAGTTTTGGTGTTCAATCCCCGGTACCAAAAAAAATCAGAACTTAATATATGTAATTTGGAGTTCACAAAAAATATGTGTAATACAAATTCCATTTAGTAAATACAGCCATCTGAACCAACCACCTACCTCCCTCCTTTCTGCTACTGGTCATCTGTGTCCTTGGACCTGTTACAATAACCTGATAAAACAGGTGAATTGCTGTGAAATTCTAGGCATGCAGAGACGTGTCTTACCTAAGGATATAAAAAAAAAAGATACATCAGAACATCAGAAACTGGCATATCACTAAAGTGGAATCCAGATAAAATCCTGAGAATAGAGAAACAGCAGAAATTCAGACAAGTTGCTAAGGCATATATGGTGTTATCAGATGTTAAAAAAAGGAACATCTGTGACAAATATGGCCAAGAAAGATTAAATGGTGGAGGAGGAAGTGAAAGTCACTTTGACAGTTCATTTGAGCCAGGTTTCCATTGGATATCCCAGATAATTCCTTCAGGGAATGTTCTGGTAAAAAAGGACCTTTTCTCATTCAGCTTCAAAGCCCTATTTGAAGATTTCTTTGGGAATAAAAGGAGTTCCCAAGGAAGTAGAGGCCACATTGTGACCTTTTTCTCTGCTTTCCGTGAATTTTTATCATTTCGAGTTGGATTTTCTTGACTTGATACAGGATTTACTTCATTTGGATCCATATATTACGGGGTTTCATTTCATTCTCTTCCACCTCATTTAGCAGCAGTGAGATGGGCAACTTCCAATCTATATCAGCTTCTACTAAAATAGGGGAAGCAAAATTACCACAAAGAGAATTGTCAAGAATGGTCCAGAAAGAAGTTGAAGATGTACAGTTAAAATCCTTAACCATAAATGGTAAGGAGCAGCCACTATGTTTGAATAACAAGTAATTCAATGTATTCATTTACCACAAGTTTAACAAGCATTTGAGATTAATGGGAACTTTTTTTTTTTTTTTTGAGACAGCGTCTTGCTATGCTGTTCAGCTTGGCCTGGGGCTCACTTTGTAGCCCAGACTGGTCTTGAGCTCTCAATGATCCTCCTGCCTCAGCCTCGGAAGTGCTGGGATTACAGGAGTGCACCACCATGCCTGGCTAGTAACTTTTTTTTTTTAAGATTTCAAACAAACGCAACTTTTAGTACAGCTGTACCAAAAGTACTTACAAAAGGCTCAGTAGAGTTTAATTTTGAGTTTATTGCTGGGACTACACACTAGAACCACTTTTGTCTTTAAAATTGTTGGAATGCACTTTCCTTTTTTATTTAATGTGATCCAAGGTGAGTTTGACTCCTAAGTAACACTAGGACAACATTATACCCTAAGTCCGGCAAGGTCTGCTTTCTGTTGTGTTTGAAATGTGAACTAAGTAGTGTCAGCCTGCTGGGTCAGACCCAGTGTGCCACAAATAATTTCTTTTTTTTTTCAGAGATTATTGATAAATACATTAATGTGCTAATGGTAATACTTTTTTGGTTTAATAAAAATTCAAGAATATCTTCTAGTTATGCATCGATGCCAGCAACTTAAGTTTTGACAGTTCCTTAAATATGTAATGTTAGGCTTATGCTTATAAAAGCTAGTAAACTTGGTCTTCGTCATTTGCTTTTACAAAAAGAAATGCGAATGTGTTTGGTGCTTTCTTTCCTGGAAAATACAATAATAAAAAGTTCCATTTAGTTAATAGTCATAGAAGTTATATGCTTGAAAATCTAGGTAACTTTCAAAAATGGGAAAATACAAATCTTTGCTAACCTAAGTGTCAAACAGAACCTTACTAAAATCATTACACTTGTAAGAAATAATGGTGGTACAGGACTAAAGCACTGAAAATGGATTTAATCATGCAGCTCTACCAAATGGGATGACTCCCTGTTACCTGATGACACTGTGTGGGGACGACCTGCTGACTGTGGGCAAGTCACCAGTGCCCCTTGCTCACAGAGCCTTTCTGGTTCAGGCTGCTTTACTTGCCTGGAGGCTGTACTGTTGTGTGCTGCAATTCACCAAAGTGGGAAATGATCATTTTCAATAGAACCATACAAATGAGACAGTAGGGTATAGTTAAACATGAAATACATGCAGGCAGTTATTTTTAAACACAAGTTTCTCTCAGCTCTTACCAAATGATTTAGTTGTTAGAGAATTATATCATTATGCCTAAGATTTGGATATGTTTTGTTTCCTCCCAAACTCCTAACTCCGTTGAATTTTAATCTCCATTATGAGGTATAAAGAGGGTAAAACAGTCCTGCTATGGTGCTTGGTGGTGAGTCCTTTAGAAGGTGATTAGGGTTACAACTTCAGGATGGAGGACCTATGACTGAATACTAAAAGTTTTTAAGAAAAAGAAGAGACCAGAATACAAGAACTCTCAGTGTCTCGCCATTTGCCCCACTTTGCCTTGATGGCCTGCCAGAAGGCGATCGCCTGGTGTGGCCCGTTGGCCTTGGACCAGTACTGTGTACAAAATACAATCTGTGGTTTGTGTTATGGGCAAGCAGGCACAGGATTTAGGGAGTAGGCAGCAATGTGCTGGGCTGTGTTTTGTGGACTGGGGCTCATGGATGCCCAGCAGTTTGCAGACGCTGCTCTGACCACCCCTCCCCTGGCAGTGAGTGTCTGTACCTGGCTCTAATGTATGTCCCAGCATCCCATCCCTCACCACTGGTGACCTGACTCCCATTCTCTGGTGGATCCATCTCCTATCCCCTAACAAATGGTTTTCATTTTGTGAATTTAATAAAAACTTCACTAGTTTAAAAAAATGACAGTCATGAGGTCATATGAACTAGTAAGGCCAGTATGATCCCAAACTAGTAATCAGCAAATCAGTTGTTGACTTTTGGAATATAGCACATGATACTTTACTGGCATGTGTTCCCTGTTGCTAGATGCTCGTATTTTTGTTTATGTATACTAAATATGTATTAATGCAACAATAAGAGGTGGAACCTAAAATGATAAATTATGTGCTGATTAAATAAATAAATAACTAGTTTTCACCTAATGAAATATATGCCATTTTTCTTTTCTTGTTTGGTTCCAATTAATCTTAAATTCAGTTTTGTGCACATAACCACTAAGACAAAGAAAAGCCAGCTAAAGTCTAACCTGGTTTAGTCTGTTTGCTAACATGAGCAACTCCATATGGTTGAAAATTGATTTTGTCTGATTTTGGGCTTGTATGATGTTGAGGTGTAAATATGAAGTTTCACACAAAGGCTTGTGTATTTGAAGGCTTAATCTGCAATGCAAAGATGTTCAGAGGGGGTACCTAGAGAGGTGACTGGGTCATAAGAGTGCTAACCTCACTAAGGTAGTAACCCACTGATGAGTACACAGCTGAATAAGCTAGCTAGAGGAAGTAGTTCACTGGGTCATCCATTTCAAAGGTACTGTACCTGTAGCCCTTCCTCTTGGTCTGCTTCCCTCTTTGCCTCCTGTCTATCACAAAATGAGCTGATTTGCACCATTATATGTGATATTTCTGCCTCACCATAGGCCCAAAGCACTGGAGCCAGCTGACCACGGACTGAAACCTCTGAAACCATGAGTCAAAACAAACCCTTCTCTAAGTTGTTTTCTTAGATACTTGTTAATAAAGATGAAAGGCTGACTACATGTTATTTTGTATTTTTAAATTTATGTGTATCTACCACATATTATGTCATAAAATGATTTAAAAGCAGAATTTTACAGTAAAGTTAACATTTCTTCCCTTAGTCCCCTTGGTAATCAAAATGAATAGTAAAATATATGATTTTACATTTACTTTATGTAAGTAATACACAGAAATTGAAATTTTCCAAGAGAGATTAAATGAACTGTTATAGAAGTTACTGTGTGTGAGTGTGTGTGTGTGTGTGTGTGTGTGTGTGTGTGGTGCTATGGGGTTCAACCATAGTTGTTGTACTACTGAGTTACATGCCAACCCAACAAAATGTTTTTGAAGCTTAGCTTCAAATAGCAAAATATAGGACAATATTTAGGTAAAGATAATCCTAACCTGTGACTGAGTTTAAATACAGGTAAGAAAGTATTTAAATTCTCTAAAAGCAAGAGAGACTAAAGGAGAAACCCATCTGTGTGCTAAAAACAAAAATAAATTGCCAAATTAACATTAAGATTTTAAAAAAAAAAAACCTTTTCCCTAACCTGGGTAATGGAGGTAGCAGCTTTTAGAAACAAAAGTTCCATATACTTCTGGAACACTAACAGGTCTATGTATTCTCCAGATAGTTACCAAGTTCTTTCTACTCAAGTGACAATTCCAAAACAACCTGCAAATCTAATCCATGGAATAACTAAATAATAAAATGCTACCCATGTAGAATTACAGAAAGGACAAATCACTGATTTTCATTAATTCCAGAAAGCTAATTGCATTAATTATTTACCCTTAAATTCAGAACAAATTTAGTGGTAATAAGAACTGCACCGGGGTCCATACATTAAAACACGTTGAGCTATTTGCAGGAAGAGGGGCTGGAAAACATAGGCCAGCAGTCCTCTGGCCACCGGGGGAGGCCCAGCTTCCTAGACTAGGAAAGCCAGGGAGCCTGCGAGGCGGCTTGTGTGCAAGGTTTTGTCAAGTAGCACTTGAGTACCTCACCTTGAAATATGGACTATGATCTGTGTTCATCTTGTTGTTGTTGTTGTTGAAAATACACAAATTCAAGTGATACGTTAGAATGTTTTGTTTCATAATAAGATTCATTGGTGTATTCGATTTTGTTATATTTTAAGATGTCAATATTATTAAACCAATACGCCAGTATGAATACACCAGGGAATCGTACTGTCAAACAAAATATTCCAAACTGTCATGCTTTCTGTTTTCTACCTCCTCTGTAAAGGTCCATATCTAGTTCTCCAATTACATTTGTCAGATCCCATAAAAACGCGCTTTTCTGATGAATGCCTGTATTTTGATTACACTGGGCTGGAACTTAATGGAGTCTTTTTCGCAACCCTGCCTTGTCCTACTCTGTTCAGCTGATGGGGACAGAGAGGTCGCAATCGCCCCAGCAGCTCTCTCTGACTCACTCAGCTCTCTGGTCCCTACGCGCGCTCCCCAGGACCTTGCCTGTGACTGCTAAAGCCTCCGGCCTCGGTCTCGGGATCCTTTTTCAACAGTGGCCCAGTCGTGGCGACCTGGTGGATTGAGGCGACCTGGTGGCTTGAGGTAAGCAAAGCAACCCGGAGGGGTCGACTCTGCGAAGACCTTTGGCGGAAGGCCGACAGGTTGTGTCCTCCAGTCAGTAAGCCAACTCCCTCTCCATCCTGCCGGTCTTTACCTGCTGTCCTCCTCTTTAGCAAACTCCGAGACCAGGCCGGAACGCGAGGTCCACGGAAGCAGCCGCAGCTGCGGCCCGAGCGCCTCGGGGTGAGAACTTGGGCGAGCAGGGCCCCGGCGGCGCGTCTGCGGCCCGCCCCTCGCCATCAGCTCTGCGGGGAGCCCGCGCTCGGCGCGCCCAGGACGGGACGCCAGGGCGTCCCCGCCGGGTGCCCCGCGTGTGACCCGGCGCCAGCTCACAAACGCGGGGGCGCGGCCACCCGGCCGGCTCGGTCCCCCTGCGCCAGGCAGGCCAGTCGCCACCTCCTGAGTCTCCGGGTTTTCTGTCCCGCCCTCCCGCTCGCCGGCCGAGAGAAGCACCTCGGGAGCTCCCCGGTGAGGCTGTGCACCAAGCCCAGGTCCTCCACGCCTGTGGCAGCGCCACATGTGCATTCTGTCCCTCCTGCTGCAGCCTCGGCCCCACATCCTTGGAAATACTGTGGGAGTGCTGCTGCTGCACGGTATGAGAGTGCCCGGGGTTCCTTCAATATCCATGTCTCTCAGTTATGGAACGCGTTGCATTAACTTTACTAGTAATTGTTAAAACAGCTTGGGTTTATTTTTGTCTATCAAATTGGTAATATTTGTTTTTAAATGTGACTCAGGAGAATAAAAGAATTTCTTATTTGCGTTTTTAAGATGTGATTTAGTCATGCATATAAGCCTATGAGATGTTTGTATGGGGCCGGGCATGGTGGTGTTCATCTGCTTTTCCAGCACTTTGAGAGGCTGAGGCAGGAGGATCACAAGTGGGAGCTCAACCTAGGCAACTTCACGGCTTTGTGGAGCACTGTCCCAGCCTGTCCCGGCTCCTCACAAATGAAAGTCTAATCGATGGCACCTCCTTCAATGGCGTCAGTGTCATATTTTGCAGTCTTAAAAAGTAAGTTTTTCAAATCACTGCGTGCCAACAACGGTGCATATTCTGTGACGAGGGAAATGCTGGTTCCTCAGGAGATACGTGTGTGAGGAAAACCAGACCTTGGTGATGACCTTGAACAGCAGGCTAGAAATAATACCCATGCGCTACCATTCCTATCATGGTGCACTAGTTGCTCAGTCCTTCACCTTTAAAAACATCTTTTGTTGCACAACAACGCAGACGTGCTTAATGCCACAACAAACACTTAAAATGGTTAGAATGACATATTTTGTCATGTGTTTTTAAAACACAAAAGAAAAGCAAGATTATTTCTTGCTTAGAAATAACCAAACAATTAGGGGCAAAATTATCGTATATTGTACACAGGGACCTACTGAGTTCATAGTGTCATCACAAACCATAAACCAGTGGCCCAACAAAGTACCACGGTTAAAACACAAAGGCTATAAACCATGTGATTCCTCCATCCCAAATTTTAATTTCTCTCTCTCCTCTGTCTCTCTCTTTTCTCTCTCTCTCTTTCTCTCTCTCTCTCTCACACACACACACACACACACACACACACACATTTTTGGTATATCTTTGAGAAATATTTTCCAATTTCCTAATTGTCCAGTTGTTTCAATATTCTCGTTGAGTTTTCTTGCCCCAATATTCCTAAATTTCATTTTTGGATTTTTGAAACAGGGTCTCACTGAGGGGTCCAGCTGTCCTTGAACTTGCTATGTAGCTCAGACCAGCCTTGACCTCACAATCTTCCTGGCTCAGGGTCCTGAGTATTGGGATGACGGGCAGATACCAGCATGCACAGCTATTTTGTCTATTCTTGTACCAACATCATATTACCTTAATTAGTGTAGCTACAGTAAGTATGCCTTCTCACCTGATTTTCCTCTTTGAAGGGTATTATTTTTTTTTTCATACCAGGGATTGAACTCATGACCTCGGCAGGCATTTATACTGCTGAGCTAAATCCCTGGCCTTTGAAGGGTATTATGAAGGGTATTATTTCCCCCCCCCCTTTTAATCCCAAAATAAGTTTTAGAATCAGCTTGTCAAGTTCTATAAAAATAATATTAGGAGCTGGGCAAGGTGGCACATACCTGTAATCCCAGCACTTGCAAGACTGAGGCAAGAGAACTGTGAGTTTGAGGCTAGCCTAGGCTACATAATGAGTCCAGGCCAGCTTGTACTATATGGGGAGACCCCGTATCAAAAAACAAAGAAACAAAACAAAATAACCAATATTAGGATTTTAATTGAGATACTAAATTTTTAGGTTAATTTGCACAGAATTAACTTTGCAAATATTGAGACTTCCAGTATATGAAAATGGTATATCATCTCACTTAAGTCTTTTCCAATTTCACTAATTCCATTTTGTAGTTCCATTATAAAGCGTGGTACTATAGAGGTTTTGCATATTTTTCATAAGGTTTATTCCTAGGTAGCAAGTATTTCCTTGTTTCCCTTTGAGATTTTGTTTTTCTGCTTTTGCTAGCATAGAAAAAGAAACTGACATTTGAATGTCCGCTTTGTATTTAATGTTCGTACTGATTTATCTATAGATGATACTGGATTTTTTACTTTATTTGTGACTGACGGATTTCTTTAACGACAGTAACCCACACACCTTTTTGTCTTGCCTGTGTAACTGACACAGTGTTGAACAGAAGGAATGAAGGTGGCATCCTTTCATGGTTCCAATATGAAAGAAAAGCTTGGGCTGGCTTTGAGTCTGGCTTCCCAACTGCCCGGGCCAATTGGTCCGGTGGTTCAAGACCCGCAGGCGCTCTCCAGTCCTTTAAAAAAGCTTGGGCTGTCTCACCATGGGACCTTATAGTTTTTTATGCACATCTTTTAGCAGAATGAGGAAATTCTCACCTAGTCCCAGGTCATGACAGGTTTTCTTATTAGATTTTTTGATGATAACCATTCTTTATAGAGTAAAATGGTATCTCAATATAGTTTTAATTTGCATTTCTCTCATGGCCAACAATGTTCAACCTTTTAAAACATATTGGCCATTTGTACTTCTTTTAAGAAATGTCTTTTCATTTCACTTGGTCATTTTTTGATTGGGTCTTTTACTGGGGCGTCCAATTTTTTTTTAGTTCTTTATATATTCTTGATTCTTGATGTTAGTTCTCTATCTGTGGGGTAGCTATCAACATTTTTTTTTTGCATTCTATATATCAGGGGCCAGGGATATAGCTCAGTGGCACAGGGCCTTTGGCAAACATAAGGTCATGAGTTTGATTCCCGGCACACACACACAAAAGCCAATCTATATATTTTTTCTTCTTTCTATTGGGTATTTCATTTGCTCTGCAGAAGCTTTTTAATTTGATAAAAGCCCATTTGTTGATTCTCAAAATTATTTCTTATGCCACCGGTGTTCTAAAGGAAGTCTATTGTCTGTCTCTTTAAGAGCTATACCTATTTTATCTTTCAGTAGATTGCAAGTTTCTGTTTTAGCACTTGGATCTTTGATCCAGTTTTCTTTTAGTCTAGCGCATGATGAGATAGATGGGTCTAGACTCAGTCTTATGCATGTGGATATTCAATTTTCCCAGCACCATTTATTTAAGGGCTATCTTATAGTGTGTGTCAAAGATCAAATAGTTTAGGGTGCCAGCGGTTGTTTCTGCTACCTCTAATCTAATAACAACACATGCTGGTAAAATGTGGGGGAAAGGGAGCTCTTCCCCATTGTTGGTGGGAATGTAACCTAGTGAAACCACTACAGCAATCACTAGAGAGATTCCTAAAATAACTAAAAATAGAAATTCCATTTGACCCAGCTATCCTCCTTCTAGGTATCTTCCCAAAAGAGTTAATCATCATATTCCAGTGACACAAACATGCCCAAATTTATAGCAGTACAATTTGTAATAGCTAGAACTTGGAAACAACGTGTCCATCAACACATGCATGGATAAAGAAAATGTGGTATTTATACACAATGGAGTATTACTCTGCCACAAAAAAGATGAACTTAAGGCATCTGTAGGTGAACGGATGCAAATGGAGAATAATGTTAAGTGAAATAGCATATAAGCTGAAATACAGTGTTGTTTCTCTTACATGGAAAAATCAAAATATATACCTATATAAATTAAGAGCAAAATAGAAGCTAGAGAAATAGGAGTACGGAGAAGTTCAAATAATTCCCCAAATTCTCTATTCCATTGTTTCGAAAATATCTCAACATATATGCTAATTTTTTTCACTTATGCTAGTTTCTATTAGGTTCATTGAAAAGTTTTGTGCTATAATTTGTTTGTTTCTTTTTCTTTTTTGTAAGAAAGTCTTCTTTACTATGACTTATACTCTGAGTAACATTTTGGCCATTTTTTTAAGATTATGGTACATGGTGTATTAACTTTTGTTATCCTCTCTTTTATTTTTATAGAAGAGAACTTTATTATTTATTAATATCTACATGTATTCCATTAAAATAAAAACTTCTGAAATATTGAAAGTTGTAATTTAGGGGCTGAGGATTTAGCTCAGCGGCGTAAGCACCTGCCCTGCAAGCAAGCGGTCATGAGTTCGATCCCCGGTACCGATAAAACTGAAAAAGACAAAAAAAAAAAAAAAAAAAAAAAAAAGGAAAGTTGTAATTTATCAGATGCACTTGCATTTATTATGATGATCATATCATTTTGTCCCTTTAGTCTCTTTTCTGTTTGTGTGTTTGTTTCAGTGAAAGGTATTGAACCGAAGGCCTTGTGCGTGGCATACACATGCTGTGCCACCAACTCTCCTTTAATTTCTCAATGTGGCACAGTACATTAACTTTCTAATTTAAACTCTAGCTTTGTGCTTCAGAGGCAAATGCAAGTCAACCATGATACATAGTGTTACCTTTTTTATGAATGAGGCTAGATTTATAATATTTAGAATAGATTTTAAAGTTTAGAATTTTATATTTTTGTTCTTTCTTTTCTATTCTTTAAGAGATTTTTGTGATATACTGAAACCATACCAATTTAAGGGATATAATTTAATATAGAGAATTGTTAACCAAAGTGTCAGAAGACTAAAAAGGTAAAGAGGAAACTATAACAACAGAGATAACACAGGAAGTAGACACCATAACTATATAAAAAAGGGCAAAGGGAAGAGGCTGGGTTATTAGAAGCCATAAGCTTTAATTGACCTACACATCGGTAGCAGACCTCCCCGAGGAGCTGTGCTACCCAGCTGGTGTTGGTACCTCAGGCATCAACAGGAGAGTCAGGCTGTGGGCCATGCAAGGACCATCTCATTGCCAGTTTACTCTTACAGAAAGCATCGTCTTCTGTAGACACCGTATTTCTAGTCACTGGAAAGCTGCCACACTGTTCTGAATTTGTTAAAACAACCTCAGGGCCACCTGTAAGTCTGTTTAAAATGCGAATTGTACTTTCTGTGTGTGGTACAGTAGGTTGACTATCTACAGTAGATTGACTATCCCTTCTGTATTCCTAAAACTTAGACTATCCTTTCTGATTCCTAAAATTTATCAAATTCTCTCATTTCTTTATGTTTCCTTGTTTTCTCTGATTTTTCATTTTTTTCTATAATTTTAATGTGATTTTGAGAGTAGTATTTGATAGACACATATACTCAAACTACCCTTAACCAGAAATCTGTCAAATTTTATTATAAATGTATTATTTTTTATATGTGTTAAACTATTCTTCATAAAATAAAATAGTTGTATAACAATTCATTTGCAATTGTAACATCTTTGTTCACCTTTTAATACCAACATTTGTTTTCTAGATTCAAAGGAAAAAATGGAAAAATTAGAGTCACAGTCTTGAACTGATATAAAAACATATCAACAAATCAGAAGAAGAGGGAACGTCAGCAGATCTAGAAGATATCACTAGGCAATTTAGGTCACAGTCAATGGAGGAGTCTGCATTTATTACAGAAACACCAAATGCATTAAACGAAGCCTCTCATTACTTGGAAGGGAACTCGTCTAACGAGATTTATGAAACTCATACTAAAAAGGATACCTTACAATCTATGGAAAGCAAGTCTAATGAAAATGAAGAGCAAAAACAGAATGTTCAGTTCTCTGAAACAAACTCTGGAGATGACAGCCAACTGTCAGAACCAGAAACTTCACAAAGTTCATCATCATCTGTAACTGAAATGACTACAGACTATAGCATTCAGCCTCATGAAAATGAAAATGTAAAAGTTAGTACACAAGTTTCTGAAGAAAACCAGGAAGGACTTGACTTAGGGTCAGATAACTTTACACTTCATCTTGAGGCCAAGGGTTTACAAGAATTCCCTAAGAACAATTTAAAAGTCAAATATATAAAATACCTATACTTAGATAATAATAAAATAAAATCTTTTCAAGGGGTGGACTTAGATGATCTGCTAGGACTTGAAATTATATCCATGCAAGATAATGAATTATCATCACTTCCACATGAAATTCTATTACTCAATAATTTAAGGATATTAGATGTTAGTCACAACCAAATATCACATATGCCTAAAGAAATACTGCATCATGAGAATATAAGACAACTCTTTTTAAATGACAATTATATTGAGAATTTTCCTTCTCCTGGCGTAGGAAGTCTTAGAAACTTGGAAATTTTAAATGTGAGTAAAAATAAATTAAGACATATACCAGACGGTCTGCCTAATTTGCAAAACTTGAGGATTCTTGATATGGAATATAATAAGTTAACAATATTTCCTAAAGCTCTCTGCTTCCTTCCAAAATTAATTTCACTAAACCTTGTTGGAAATATGATAGGCAGTTTGCCCAAAGAAATTAGGGAACTTAAAAATTTAGAAATCCTTTTACTGGATCATAATAAACTTACCTTTTTGGCTGTGGAAATTTTTCAGTTAAGTAAAATAAAAGAACTCAAGCTAGCTGACAATAAATTGGAGGTTATTTCACCAAAAATTGAGAATTTCAAAGAACTCAGGATTCTTATACTTGATAAAAATTTATTGAAAAATATACCAGAGAGAATTTCCTACTGTGTAATGTTGGAATGCCTTAGTCTTAGTGATAATAAATTAATAGATCTCCCTAAAAACATCTATAAGCTTAAAAATTTAAGAAAACTCCATGTAAACAGAAACTCTATAGTGGGAATAACTGAAGATATCTCACATCTTACTAATATATGTAGTCTGGAATTTTCAGGAAATATGATAAAAAATGTTCCTATTGAAATAAAAAATTGCAGAAAACTAACTAAAGTTGAATTGAACTATAATAAAATACTGCAATTCCCAGTGGGACTGTGTGCTTTAGATTCACTTTATTATTTGAGTTTTAATGGAAATTCTATTTCACAAATACCTGCGGATGTATCTTTCAGTAAACAATTGCTTCACTTAGAATTGAATGAAAACAAACTCCTTGTATTTGCTGATCATTTATGTTCTCTTATGAATCTTAAATTTCTGAACCTTGGCAAAAACCAAATAGAGAAAATTCCACCATCTATTTCCAATATGATATCTCTCCATGTACTTATTTTATGCTCTAATAAGTTTGAAATTTTCCCTAAAGAATTGTGTACTTTAGAAAATTTGCAAGTACTTGATCTTTCAGAAAACCAATTACAGACAATTCCTTCAGAGATACGTAATTTAAAAGGAGTCCAGAAATTAAACTTCTCAAGCAACCAATTTACCCGTTTTCCTACTGAACTCTGCCAACTTCAGTCACTGGAAGAATTGGATATAAGTCAGGCAAATGGGACAAAGGTAAGAGACTGATACTTTGGGCTTTGGGGATAAGAAGGGCTAGCTAGAGATCAGAATCTATGGTGTAGCATAGGTATCTGCATGGATACGTGTGTGTGTGTGTGTGTGTGTGTGTGTGTGTGTGTGTGTGTGTGTTAAACTTACTTGAAATGCTTTGTTTGCTAAGGATAGGCTCCTTCCAACTCCTGCCGAAGCACAGCCTGCAGATACACTTGTCAACACAAGCTTTAATGAAAATCATTTCGTTTAAATGCAAAGCAAAGGAAAGCTGATAATTTTGTAGATTTCTTTTATTTCAGTGTATTGTAAAAGAAGTCTTAAACTACAAATTTCATATAAACCACATTGGCAAAGATCAGAAAGTTAAATAAGTTTTAAAATTTCCCACAACTGTACTATTGGGAAAAAAAAATTACTGGCATATGTTGATTCAATTTACTTTTAGTCTCGTTTCATGTGTGTATGGTTTTATAATCAATTACAAAATGTCTGTACACTCAGTTTTAAATTATTTCCACTCATCATAAGCATCTCTCCTTAATATAAGCTTCACAATAATTTTTTTTATTTCAACCATCAATGGCATTTTATTTTGGATGAATTACATAGATATTAACTCCCTTCCTTACTCCTCCTCCCTATCAGAATTTTTTTTTTTTTAAGTACAAAACTCTCTTGTCTAATTTGTCTAAAGTCTTAATTGTTTGCCATGAATAGACGCGCCGTCGCCACCGGTTCGTGGGTCACCACCCCAGATCCAAGGGCCTTGATGATAACCCTGTGGGGACATTGGGCGGAGCTCTGCCCTGTCTTCATTGCTTGCTTCCCGGGGCAGCTCCCATGCGAGGACCTTCATGCGGAACTCTCCTCTCCTCTCCTCTTCCCTCCCCTCTCCTCCCCTCTTCTCTCCTCTCCTGTCCCCCAGTAATGCCGAAATCAGACCTTATTTAGATCACTAATCCTTTATTGTTAAGCATTCTTCCCACTAACGCTGTGGTAAATTTCTTCATAGATAGGCTTTTTCACATTATAAACTATATCCTTAGGACAGCTCCCAGAAGTTGTCAGATCAGTGCTATTATTTTATTTTCCTCATGCATAGAGTGAATTTCATTTAAACTTTTAAAACATTTATTATTATTATTAGTTATTACTACTATTATTATGTTCCTGGAGATTGAATCCAATGCCTCATGCAAGCTAAGCTATCACTGTGTCATACTCCCAGGTTCAGAAAATCTTTGCAAAATATTTTAAATTATTATTCTAAGATATCAAGAATCACAGCATATCTGGCTATCTTTAATGCAAGATTATTACCTAAATCAAGATTTCCCAAAGTCTGTTGTTCCTAAAAACTCTAATACCATGTCCAAAAGGAGCAAAAGCCTAATAATAATAATAATAATAATAATAATATAAAGATCTGAAGATGTAGCTCCGGGTCAAAATTATTTGATCTTTTAAATATAGTACCTATTAACTGCATAGTACATTTCTAGCAAAGGTACTTCAGATAATACTTGCTTAAGTAGATGGAATGAATAATGGTACATATGTGTTTAGAAAGTTGCTTTTGTACTAAAAGACAAAGTTCTGCAATACAATAATGACCTAATTCCTTGATTAGTTTATAATCTCATTCTCCCTTTCTCTCTACACTGTGTCTCCAAGGTTGTGTCCTTACTATCTCTTCTGCAATAACTCCTTGTGTGTAAGCCTCAAATCTACCTAACAGTGGGCTAGTCCTGTAGTTCTGGTTTTCCCTGGAATTCCAGTATCATTGCCTCCGTGCTGGCTCATGGTCATCGCATACTTCACACCTACATTAGACCAGAAGTCCCCTAGCTATTCTTTCCGATTCAATCTCCTCCTCTTTGGCAGGCCCTGTCGAAGATATCAGACTTCATTTCAGAAACTGTTCCTAATGCACACCTGTGTTTAAGAATCCAAAATGCATACCTATGTCTACACAAAGTGGGTGGTTGCCAAAAGCAGCAATTCACAGCATTACAACACCATTTTAAAAGTCTCCAGAGGGACTGGGGGTTTAGCTCAGCTCAGCGGCATTAGCACCTGCCTTGCAAGCGCATATCGATCCCCGATACCAAACGAACAACAACAACAACAACAACAACAACAACAACAAAAGTCTCCAGGTCTCGTAACCCAAGCATGGAGCTACACACCTATAATCTGAGCACGTGGGAGGCTAAGGCAGATCAACAGGAGTTTTAAAAATAGGCTGAACAACACAGTGAGACTCTATCTCAAAAAACTAAACCAAACCAAGCCAATAAACAAATAAAATAACCTCCTCTCTAGAAGAATATCTTATATAATTGAAAATATTACCATGATAATCTCTTTGGGTGGGAGGAAAATTGACCCAAGAATTAAGATATGTAGCACTAAGCAATCATGTAATTAAAGTGAGTCAGGCTAATTACAGAGATTTTCCTGAACAAGAATGCTTAACAGAAGTCTTTCAGCAGAATTCCATCATCATATAGCTCTTAGGCATGTTCTCTAATAAATATTGAGCAAGTTGTTGAAGAATATTTGTTTAAAGGAAATTCAAATGATAAGCCTATCCACCTGTGTCACTCTGACTGCTACTTCATAGGCATAGCTCTCCAACCTTGCAATAGCCTGACTGTCCACTCCACATCCTAACCTCCCTCTCTTTTTCTCCCTGCTTCCAATCACTTCTCCTTACTGATCAGCTTCTCACTCACCATTTTAATGCATGATTTGTTGTGCTTTAAGTATCCTGTAACTTTTACCCACTCTTATTCATTCTTAATGCCATTCAAGTTACATTTTCCATATGAAACTTTTCTTCAATTCTCTCATTTATAGATTGTCTTAGTTACTCTTTTCATTGCTGAGGTAAAATACTTGACACCCAGAGTTAAAGGAGGAAAAAAGGTTTATTTAGCTTAGTTTGTAGAGGTTTTACTGTAGATTTTTAAGAGATTGGAGAGACCTCATGAGAAATAGGAGGATTTATTTTAGGTATATGTCAGCTCAGCAGACTCGTGTCCACAAGGCTGAGCCCTGAAAAAAGGAATAGCTCTTGTTTTATAGATGTGACTGAGGTCTTCTTGACGGTGCAGAGCTGGCAGCAGGCAAGTGTACAAAAGTAAAACAGAGGCAGTTTGTTAAGCTGTGATGGTTTTGCAAGTTAACGTATCTTTC